AGCACAACATCATTGTTATAGCAATACAATATCACTGTTATAGCAGTACAATATCATTGGTATAGCAGTACATTATCATTGTTATAGTAGTACAATATCATTGGTATAGCAATACAATATCATTGGTATAGCAGTACAATATTATATGTATGGCAGTACAATGTCAATTAATGTCATCTTGATATAATTAAATGGCATCTACATGGCGGAAAGATGTCATCTTTCACATATGACATCTTAAGCTGAATCATCTCAGCACTTTTGTGTCCTAGCCCTCAGCTTTTTGCACAAACAAACATCTGACAATCTTCAAACAATTTTTTTCCTAATTCCAACAATAACAAGAATCAGCATTCTTCAAGGTAGTGACAAAAAAGTAAACTGCAAAGTTCAGACATTTTTAAATGATTCAAAATGCTTTTTAATGTTATTGTTATTTTGTGTAATCTTGCGATTCTTTCAACCCAAACAGATTGCAATAACTGTACAGGGTTACATTCCTGTTTTGATATGGTCCCCAAGATGGAACCACCAAGATTTATATTAAAACACAGATCTCACGTGACCCATAAACCATTCAAACAACTGATTTATTGGTGATTTAGCCTATCCTGGCATTATGTTGCTATAGAAATTGGACAATTTGAACCAGTAAACTAGAATAGATTGTTCATCAGGGCCATATTTTAAGTTGAAATTAGTATTTATATGTTGTATGTCTACAATATTCAACAATAGTGATGTCCTGGTGCACATGTATAGTGTTTTTGGATCAGGGATCGGAGTCTAATTCGTTTTCCTTTGATATGTTGGTGTGACTATAGTTGTACTTTAGCGTAGCCAACATTTCACATGACTAAATGTTATATTACAAATACACAAACAAACAAACAAATAAAAAAACAAAAAATCTAACCAACAAACTCGCAGTAGCAACCATACTGAATGAAAAAATGATCATACATCTGTAAAGTCATAATTTTGCAAATGTTGCCCTTTGTGCTTTCTTAATAATAAAAACATAATTGTAAAATCCATTTAAGTAGGTCATCATTTTAAACAGATTTCAGGATTGATTCTATAAAGCCTATAAGTTAGACAATAAATTTGTGTGTACTTTCGGAGCTTTATGCTTTGGTATATTGGGCATAGAGGGTTTATTATAATGAACTCAACCATTTTAATGTGTACATTGACTCCTTTTATTGGGTATTCCACTAGACAAAGGTTGATAGCAAATATATGGGTACATTGATAGATGACTGAGCCTCCTAATTGTGACTTGAATGAAAATCTCCATTAAGTCTTACCCCAGTGAGAATTAAATTAGGAATGGACAGTTGAAGAGGGAAGGTTATATAGTGGTGTGAGATCCTTAATAAATGTATAATAAATGAGATTTTTCTTTGTTTTTTATGGAGAACACTGTTAATCATGCCATGTTTGTGTCAGTTTTTATTTAAGCTTTATCAATCTTAAATTCCCACAGGATTTTTAATCAGTTAGTTAAGAAAATATGTATGCATGAAATACACTGTTGCTAATATCATGAATACTAATTTAACTTTGCGAGTTAGAATAATTTAATATAATATTCGCTGACATTATTCTGAACCTCATAGCTTACGAAAGAGAAGAGATTCTCTAGGGTCCCTCTGGTGTTGTATTATTTCAAGTACAGTATAACCTGTCTAAGTAGAACACCTTTGGTACCTCTAAAAATTTCCACTTTGGAGGTGTTCTACCTATAGAGGTTCATTTGATATTAAGTCAGTTAGTCTTGGGTCTCTGGAAAGTGTTCCACTAACAGAGGTGCTCCAATTATATAGGTTCATTCAGCAATTGATTTCGAGATTCTGAAAAGTGTTACACTTCTAGAGGTGTTCCACTTAACAGGTTTCATTGTATCAGTATTCATAGAGGATTTAAAGGAGAATGGCCAAAGGAAATTTTTGTATTGACAGCTTCTTTAATTTGTTTATACTATATAGTAGAAATATGAATTGAATACCCCATGTGTATTTGGATTATTGCTTGGAGAGACTGACTGACTGATTAACTTACTGTTGAATGAATGATGGTTGGTGGTGGGATTTGGTCATATTAACTTAAATTACCAAACCATGTGTTTGCCAATTTTCATCAAGCATGTGTATATGCTCAGAAATTCCCAAAAGATCTTCATTGAGTTAGACAATAACATTTTTATATTGGAAACATTTTGAATATCAATTCAACTCTCCAATTAACCCTGCCACCTTTTGGTAAAATACAGAAGCTGGAGATTTAACAGTGATGCATTCTTGAATTGGAGTCTTGAATTGTTTTCAAAAAGACATTAGTACAACTTATTGATCAATAGCTTTCCTTCCAAGAATATATAAGTACTTCTTAAGAACTGTATAATAAAGTAATTAATTTTGAGTTATCACTTTGAAACAGTCAGTAGCTTTGAAAAGTTCAGGTTCTCATTATTATTGGAGTTTATATATTATGTAACTTGTGTTTTAGCAAATATTGCATAAAGTCTAACATTGTGGTATATTTTTGTGATCAGTGTTTGATATTGCAATTCTGTGAGACAATTGTAACTTATTCATTTGTAAATATTTTGAAAATATTATGTTCAGATTAATTTCTGTTGAAAGCCCATGATTACAGTGAACACACATAGACATATAAGTTTGAACATATTTCTGGCAAATATACTTTGGTAACGATTCAGGTGACATTTTCAAGTAATGTCTCCTTAACTCAAGAAGGAATGAACTTAAGTAATGGGACAATGTTCATTTCCTGGAAAAAATCATCAATTTATTCATTTGTGCCTATATGCTTCAACACATTGATTGCCCGATTCAGGAAAATTGAACAGGGAAATTGAAACACACTTGATGACCATACTAAATTCGATGGCTTCATCGGCAGAAGTATGATAGAATCACAATACCTGATATACTGTAAGTTATAACATGTTGAAATTTCTTATTTCATAAATCTTAATGGTTTATTCATTAAAGGGAATTCAGGCCAACTTATTACCAAACTCAATTAACTTGAGTCAATTTTGATTCAGTGCTTGCTACAAAATTATTTGCTTTAGGAAAATCTAATTACTCCGCATCAATAGTGGAAAACAAGTTAATTTATAATGATGAAATAGTGTATGATGTAAAACACATCTAAGGTACATATGTTACTTTTCAGGTATTTTTTTTTAAAATCAACAATGTTGTCTATGTATGTGGGAGTGTAGGGTAGAAAAATGGACTACAAATACATATATTTTAGCAAATGCCAGAAGGGAAAATATGAAATAGCATGAAAAACCAGATAGAAAAACAACATTTAAAGTTCTGTACATGTACAGTCAATCTAGAAAAAGAACAGGATTTTTGAAAAGTACAGCAAATCTAGAAAATAATCAGAGTACAACTGGTCTAAAAGGGAACTATTTAAAAGTCAACATATTGACTTATGTTAGGTTCAAAGAAGTTAATGTGGCCTTTTTTCCTGTGGCTCTATAAACTTGATTGAATTCCTTTCCTGAAAGCAAAATCAATTGGAGTCTTTATCCCTATCTAATTTAACTGTCCTATATGCCACAGCAAATTTGATCACAGTTTAAGCCTCATATCAATCAGGAAATGGGAAAAATCTATTTCTTTCCATACAAGTGCAATTATGTTTTTCATGTGCAATATCGCTGATCAAGTATACATTGCTCTATAAGGAAAATCAAAAGTTATTTGAATTATAAATTATATTATGTATAGGATTGAATCTATAAAGTAAGGATGGAATCATACTGATTAATGTCAAATTTAAGTAAGGTGTCATAAAAACTGAATTATCTATAATATGAAATCTGTTTCTTCAGAATACAATCTAATTTGGTGTCCAATCACATTATTCTAAGGTCAGTTGCTAGCCATTCTAAAAGTGAATTATAAAAGAGTGCAGATATTTTTAGTTTTTTACTGTGATAACTTAACATACACTGTAAATAATGGCATTATGAAAAACCAATTACTCAGATGTGAGTAGGTAGTTACCAGTTTCGCCACCAGGTGGCTAATTTTGGGGAAATAACATGGCAGGTTATTACAAAGTTCCCTTAAACTTGAATATTCATCAGTTTTAGTGGTTCACTTTTCATATTACCCTTATGTATCTGATAGTTATACAAATTAGGATATGTCCAGTAAAAGAAAATATTATCTTCCCAATACAAAAAAGATATTTCAATTTTTGTGATTTTACAACATCCGGGTCTTTGGGGAATCTCTCCGACTTTGAAGTCACTTTTTCAAAGAAAATTAAATTTTCAAAGTTGATAAACTCTTTTCAGAACCACATTTCTAGATGTAATTTTAAATGTATATTCCAAATATGACATCATTTCTGCTTGCATCTAATCTATTGGATCTGTGTGTATGGCATATATAGTCTTTGATTTGATTGAAAAAAAAGATAAAATCTGCCACATATAATTTCTGTATAATTGATCCAATCCAAGCAATCTTGAACCTCTAACTTCCATATATGTATTCACTAGATGCATATACAGTAAAACCTGTCTTAGTGAACTCCTCTCTCTAGTGAACACCCATGTTTAGTGAACACCACCTAGATCAAGACACATTTTTCATTGACACCTGTATAAAATTCCCTCTGTAGAGAACATTTTTTGTGGGTCAATAGGTGTTCATTACTACCTACAGTGAACACTTTTTTGTGGCTCAATAGGTGTTCACTACTACCTACAGTGAACACTTTTTGTGGCTCAATAGGTGTTCACTACTACCTACAGTGAACACTCTTTGTGGCTCATTAGGTGTTCACTACTACCTACAGTGAACACTCTTTGTGGCTCAATAGGTGTTCACTTTATACAGGTTTTACTATATTCTCATAAATGTGTTCTCATATAAATCAAGCACCTATTGTCAATACAGTATTCTACCAAAAATTATGTTTATTTATTTGCTATTTTTCAGTTAACCCCAACTGTCATATGCAGTTTTCTAGCAGTACAAGGAAGAATGGCACATTCGCAAGTCCCAATTTCCCCCAGGCATACCCAGCTGACATCCAGTGTAGGTATACCTTCCAGGGCAGTGGCAAGGAGAGGGTGCAGATATTCTTCACTGATCTGGATCTATACTATCCTCATGGGGATCCTAAAACTGCAAAAGAGTGAGTTTTTCTTTAACATTTTTTCTTATAATTCAATAGTATAGTTTAAGAATCTTTTAATTAGGCCATAAGAAGTAGATTCTTTGTTTTGCGTCTGGTTCTGATTGAATGAAATGTGATTGTACTTGTAATCCCTGGTACTTGTACCCTTGTAATTGCTATTTGGATGTGTTTGTTTTTCTGATTTACTCAAAATTGTGCAAGCAAGGGGACTCAAAACAAAGAATCTACTTCTTATGGCCTTATTTATTTAACATGTGAACATGTGCTAGTGGCTGGGCATTAGCATACTCTCGAAAATTAGTCTAAGAATGATTTAATTGATATTTTATATTTTCGTTGTAAATATTATACTAGTACCTGCAAGAATGATACAATTTCATTTGGCAATACATCCAGTGTGGTAGCCATTTTGAAAAATGATTTCTAGCAGTCTTGTCTGTCATGTAACCTAGTTTGATATAATTCCTTAAAATTGGAGCATTTGGAATAACTTCCTGAACACCCTGTATTTTCTCTTCTGTGTTAATATCAAATATGTGTTACTGCATAAAAAAGATGGCACTAGGAGATTGTTAAGATCCCAGGGTTAAGATACACAGGATCTATACAAAACTGATTGATTTGTGTTTTATACTTGATTGATATGCATGTTATAAATGATTGTTTGTGTTTATAATGGTTGATTTGTTTTTTGCTGAATTTATTTTTGTAATCATTTGATTTGTTATTCTTATTTTAAAATTGATTTGTTTTTCAGATGTGAGGGTGTAGACTCTGTAACTGCTACTGTGTTTATAGATGGGGGAAATCAAGATATCGGCACATTCTGCGGGGCAAACATGCCACCTATGCTTATGTCAAATGATGCGAGAATGACTGTAATTTTCAAGAGTATGTCAACCTCAAACCCAACTAAAGGCTTTAAAGCAGTTTATAGCTTTGTGACTAGTAAGTAGTATTTTATCAGTTAACTTTATTTTTTTGTGACTCATGTTTTAAGATATTTTGAGATCTTTTGATCTTTCTTCTTAAAAGCTACCCTTCATCCAATTGACCATTTTTTCCAAAAAGCTAAAATTGATGGGGTTTATATTTAAAAACATGATTGTGGGGAAACATGTTCTCCCATTTTATCCCAATCTCCCGAAAGAGATACTCCTCAAATGTATTATATTCTATTAAAGCTCTCACATCTTCAAACAAATAGATAATGTTGTAAACAAATAAACAAACAAACAAACAAACACACAAGCAAGCAAACAAACAAACTAACTAACTAACCAAGTAACTAACTAACATCAAGCAAACAATCAGTGTTGCTAGTCACACCAATCTTCCTCAGTCTGTTATTAATGTTACCATGACTACTCCATTTATACAACAAACACATTCATGACTATTGTCAGGTCATGACATCAAAAGAGTCAATAAAAAATATATATATATGGACAATGTGACATACGAACCAATAAAGTCAATGTATTGAGAAACAGAACTTTTTAACATAATATTCTTGTAGCATATGTCAATATCATTATTATCACACGTCTTCAAATGAATATCGTACACAATCCAATAAAGTCAATGTATTGAGTAACTGAACTTTTTAACATAATATTCTTGTAGCATATGTCAATATCATTATTATCACACGTCTTCAATTGAATATCGTACACAATCCAATAAAGTCAATGTATTGAGTAACAGAACTTTTTAACATAATATTCTTGTAGCATATGTCAATATCATTATTATCACACGTCTTCAAATGAATATCGCCCATTAATCTATTGGATGCTAGGTCATTGATTTCAACATAGAGGTTGGCATGACTCATACAGAGTGTCATCAGCATATATGTCATATTCATCAGTTATTGAGTATACAGTAAAACCTGTCTAATTCGAACGCCATTTGGACCAGCTTAAAGCGTTCAAATTAGGAGGTGTTCACATTTCGAGGTTTTTGCATTCGCGAGATTCTGGATTCTGAAGAAATGTGAACACATTCTCAGTACATATTTATAGTTCATTTGACCACATAGCTTTATAGCATTTCAAAAATTAGAAAATTCAATTCAAATGAATCTAGTCATGCTGGAAAACCCTATTATAATCAAGACCATTCAGGTTTTTTTCCCCAAAGTTTTGATATCATAACAATATTTGAGCAATTTTGAATGAAACATGTGAAATTTTATGAAAAGTGCTCAGATTAGACAGGTTAATTTTTCAAATATGACTGTTCACTGTTCAAATTGAGAGGTGTTCACATTTCAAGTACTTTTTAACATGGGAGTCAATGGGAGGAAAAAATGGGACCGAAAAAAAGTGTTCAGATTGGGAGGTGTTCGGATTACCCAGGTGTTCAGATATACAGGTTCTACCGCATATGAATTTGAAACTCAGAAATTATCGATTTGACATATTCCACTGCCAAATTCCATGACGTTAATCTTCCCGCAAACAACAAAATGTCGATCAGTCATTGGAAATGGCAAACTATAGGTGGCACCATATGATCCAGAACATTGTGACTCATGTTCAAAGCCACTTTCCAGTTGGCTGACAGTCCCCTTCTGTACTTTTCCTTTAAGAATCAGATAGCCATTTTCTTCAGCCAATGTTTCACATCGCACTAGGACGTCTAACAACCAATAGTTGGGGCCATAGCTACAACAAGAATTAGATCAATTAATTATGGAAGTCAATTAAAAAGAAACTTTTTATTTCCAACCTTCTTACATGTACATATTTACACAGCACATCATTGCATTAAACAACACTTAAAGAACACAGAATTTGTGAATAGAAAATGAATACAAAATAATTTCAAAATGTAAAAAGAATTAACTTCGAGCTATTGGTCCAAAAAGAAACTTACTTAATGCAGATAACATTTCATTACATCCATACAACTTTGAACCGAAATAACTTTTTAAACATTTCAAAATATAGAAATAACGAGTTATGATTGAGCACCAAAAGAGAAACTTACAAATTCAAAGGTGGTGTGTCACATTATTTTGGTCTGTGTAAAAGGGTACACCACATTGTTTGATTCAAAATAAAAACCTACAAATTCTGAAATACACTACATTATTTAATTAAGTCAGTGTAGAAACTTACATATTCAGAGGGTGGTATGATGCATCATTTGGGTCATTCGTAGTCCATACCATGGGTGTCTCCGATGAGATGCCCAGAGAGTTGGTTTTTCCTGCCTGTAATTTAGTATACCAATGAGTGTGTACTTATGATTCCATAATCTTACTTTAATAAATAATAGAAAGTAATTTACACAAATGAAATATATTTGACACCAGATAAAGTTGCATTTTTTCCAAAAAGTTGCATGAGGGGTATGCTGAAGTTGTGAGGCAAAAAGATCAAAAGTTGCAAAAGGTTGCACCATTTAGACGTAACAATAACCAAAAATCGATTCATATTCATCTCCATAATCTAGAATAGTGTAACATGTAGACGGTGAAGTTGATTATTAAAGTTGATTGGTTTTTTCAATATTACCTGATAATGTAAATCAGTACATGCTATGTCATTCCAATAATTACCATAATGATGTTGTAAAAACCATAATTAAATGACCAATTCTCGGCATTTGACAGCATCTTTCGAAAAATATTGTTTGATTCTGATTTTGAGTGGTCTTATCAAGAAAGGACGATTCTCGGTTTGGAGAACAGTCTCCTGGGCGAATAATTTTTTTCATGAAAAATATAGAAATATTACCCAAATTAAACTATGAATATTCAAAAGAGGACATTTAAATTTACCAGATGTAAAAATAACAAACTGGTCTGAAGCAGGGATAACGCTCAATTAGACCGATTCAATAAAATTCAAGTCTCGATTTGGGGAAAGAAGTTCATCAGTGTACTGCGCTAATATTTTTTTGCAAAAAATCTAGAAATATTACCCAAATTAAATTATGACTATTCAAAAGAAGACATTCAAATCTATATTATGTACAAAAAATCAAATTTGTCCGAAGCAGGGATAATGCTCATTTAGATTGATGAACTTCGTTCTCCAAACCGAGAATCGTCCTTTATTGTGTAAGCTGCGTTAAGTTGCGCTGTTTTGTAAAAGTTGCGCTCTGTACTGAAAGTTGTTGGAAGTTGTCGCACGCGCAACAAAGCAACTTTCTCTGGTGTCAGATATATACAGTATGGTAAAAATATTGTCTGTCAGCAAATACAGAAACCAAAGTCCCCGAACTGAATGAATGATGTTGGCCTTGGTGTGGTTAGATGTACAATGAGTGTTGATATAGTATATGATCCAATTGTTTCTTACCTGGTAGTTTTGACACACTGTTGGCCTTGGTGTGGTTAGATGTACAATGGGTGTTGATATGAGATATGATCCAATTGTTTCTTACCTGGTAGTCTTGCCACTCTGTTGGCCTTGGTGTGGTTAGATGTACAATGAGTGTTGATATGGGATATGATCCAATTGTTTCTTACCTGGTAGTCTTGCCACACTGTTGGCCTTGGTGTGGTTAGATGTACAATGGGTGTTGATATGGGATATGATCCAATTGTTTCTAACCTGGTAGTCTTGCCATACTGTTGGCCTTGGTGTGGTTAGATGTACAATGAGTGTTGATATTGGATATGATCCAATTGTTTCTTACCTGGTAGTCTTGCCACACTGTTGGCCTTGGTGTGGTAAGATGTACAATGGGTGTTGATACGGGATATGATCCAATTGTTTCTTACCTGGTAGTCTTGCCACACTGTTGGCCTTGGTGTGGTTAGATGTACAATGGGTGTTGATATGAGATATGATCCAATTGTTTCTTACCTGGTAGTCTTGCCACTCTGTTGGCCTTGGTGTGGTTAGATGTACAATGAGTGTTGATATGGGATATGATCCAATTGTTTCTTACCTGGTAGTCTTGCCACTCTGTTGGCCTTGGTGTGGTTAGATGTACAATGGGTGTTGATATGGGATATGATCCAATTGTTTCTAACCTGGTAGTCTTGCCACTCTGTTGGCCTTGGTGTGGTTAGATGTACAATGAGTGTTGATACGGGATATGATCCAATTGTTTCTTACCTGGTAGTCTTGCCACACTGTTGGCCTTGGTGTGGTAAGATGTACAATGGGTGTTGATACGGGATATGATCCAATTGTTTCTTACCTGGTAGTCTTGCCACACTGTTGGCCTTGGTGTGGTTAGATGTACAATGGGTGTTGATACGGGATATGATGCAGCTGTTTCCTTCACTGGAAAACATCAACATATTAAGGAATCGTAGATAAGGTTGATCCTATCATGAAATAATTGTACAATGAGGTTGTTAGTGACAGAGAGGACAGGACAATGAGGTAATTGGTGTATGCCATATGGTACAATGGGCTGATGTTAAATACCAATATCATATCACCGTGTTATTCAACCACCAAACAAATGATTGTATCACTATTGCCATGCTTTGGATCTGCATGGCTTTTTGCTGATACTTCAAGAATAATGTGTATTAAAGCAAACTTGAAAAATTAGAATAATGACAAAAATATGAACCACATAACATTTTAAAAACCACATGGAACACTCGAGCTCTGAACACTCTGTACATAAAATTCAAGGAATTCCAATATTGTTGAGATCGTTTTCATTTTGTTGTATTTTGGGGTTACCCTGTATTATCATGGCTTTAATCTTGTGGTTACAATTAATCATTATTAACACTCTGTACATAAAAATCAAGAGAATTCCAATATTGTTGAGATCGTTTTCATTTTGTTGTATTTTGGGGTTACCCTGTATTATCATCTTGTGGTTACAATTACTCATTATTAAAAACAAAATATTTTGAATTCTTTGAAAACAAATGAATGAATAAATAAAACAAATAATCATAGAATACCTCCACCTATTAAAAACATGCGCTCGTCAGGTTCTGAAGGATAATACATGAGAATCACTGTCCTCTGCCACCCACTGGCTTCAACCCATGGCTGGACCACCATGTTATAGTACGCCAACCCTGGTTCATAAACCAAATTCTCCCAACTGGTTTCCAAATCACAATGATTTAGGTAACATTTTGATTGTGTCTTGTCATAGTTTATTGACTTGCACAGGTCATCCGAGGCACATTTTTGGTGGCATTTAACCAGAGATTGTGTCTCTATGTTGTATGCACACATTGTCAGTGCAATATCTGGTAGAATTTCTCTTGTAAAAGACTGAATGATTATTGCTTGGCTGATACCTGCAAAAGTAAGTTTTAACATAATATGATACAATGTTCATGTAATATGATATAATATAAAATGGTATGATATAGTATGATATTATCAAATTCAGCTTCTTCACAAATACTAAACTGAAATAAAGACAATATTTCTTTTAAATTCTACACAGCAAAATAATAAATGATTAAAAATCCGATCAACGTCACAAAGCAGGTGTCCAGAACTTGTTTGTGAGTGCTGGATAACTGCATTTGGAAGATGTTAAAAATGATATTTATTAATAATAAAATTATACAGTACAGTGATAATACGAGGGGTGATCCAAAAGTCTTGGACGCCCCGCTCTAACTTTGCTATTTTTTAATATAATTGTACGAAACTTTCAGATAATAAAGATCAACATCTTAACAACTTTGTGTATAAGTTTCAACAGAAAATAATATATTTTAGCTTTTTGGTAAAGACTTTTTAACACTGGGTCCCTGCCACCCGGAACGGTATTTAAATATATAGCAAATCACGTCACAACTGTTATAATATGGCAAATACTTTAGGTGCGGGTGCACAACCTAACATGAGTCATTATATGAGAGAATTTCTGATTTTCAATCTGAGTGTCATCTGCCATCATCATCTTTACATATTAAGACCTTACTTTTCAACATATTTTCCACGAATTTGAACCCATCTTTCATACCGTTTACCAATGAATGGAAGACATTTATGAAACCGCCATTCCTTTTGTGATACAAATGTTGGAGTGCCATTCTAAACCTCATCCAATGAGTAATAAAAAAACAACTTTTCTTTCAACCCTCCTTTCAACTTCGAGAAAAGGAAGAAAATCACACGGAGCCATATCTAGACTGTACTGTGCATATGGTAGCTGCTAAAGGTCAATTAGTGAAAATATCTTGTAGTATTCTTTGTTCCACTTTGATTTCTTTCATGTTCTGCATTTCAGCAGCCATTTTGGAGCAAAAATGATACCAGAATGAGGTTTGCTTGTATGATGTCATTTTCTTAGAATTTGACATATATGATCATTGTCATATGTGACATTTTAATTAAAACACAATTGGTTGGCTGCCTAGTAAGAAAGGAAGTAACTAACATGGTTTAACATTCACAATTCAAAGAAAGATAGTGGTCAAGACTTGCGAAACAAGTCAAATGGCGGCAACATTTAAGGCTGAAAGTTGTCATGTGTGAATACCGTTCCGGGTGTCAGGGTCTCCATGTTAAAAACTGTCTAGAAAACTACATAAAACATATCATTTCTCCATGAAATTAATACACAAAGTAGTTAGGTTGTTGGTCTTTATTATTGGAAAGTTTAAAGTATTTTTATCAAAAACCAATCAAATTAGAGCAGGGCGTCCAAGACTTTTGGATCACCCCTCGTATTATTATACTGATTACGTTTACTTACCAATTTTATTCTGCCATAATAAACAAATACAGAAATACCAGACAAAGTTACATATTACTTCACCAGCCATTTTTAGTATTTTGTATTGCATATTACTCCAAGTATTTCCTTTTTAAACAGAATATATAATAGTAATACTAATAGTTATGTAGTTTTTCCTTCCTTTACAATTGTTATTATGTCCCCACCACATAGTGTGGGGATGTCCCCACCACATAGTGTGGGGCCATATTGTCGTCCTAGGCGCGTCCGTCCGTCTGTCTGTCTGTCTGGTTGTCTGTCTGTCCGTCCGTACGTCCGGCAGTTTTCTCCAAAACCGCTACAGGTATCACCTTCTAATTTTCAGGAATAACTTATGAGTGCCTATAGATGTGGATGAAAAAAATTTAACTCGAAACCTACTTCCTGTCGGCCATTTTGAAGTCAAATGCTAAAATCCTTGTCTGCAAACTTAAAGAAAAACTGCTTCACAGTTGCTTTTAAAACTTTAACATCTTGTTCAGCTCACTTCATTCTAGATCTGATTAGGTTTTGGACCTGCTAGCTCAGTCATGTCAGCCATTTTGAATGTCTTAAGAAAAGTTAGCGTGCGATAATACTTTGTATCATATTGAATGGTGTTTTTGAGTTTTCATACTTTAACTATTTAGTAGCTTTATAAATAATTTCAGATGTACTTTGCTGTAAAAGCCTACTTTATTGTTAACAGTAGTTATATGTGATAATTTTGTAAAAAGAAATCAGCAAAAACTCATAAGGACTTTTTTATTGTCGGCCATTTTGGATTTTTCGGTCCTAAAATCTTGTCTGTGAAGTCTTGTCTGCGCGTTTTCAGGTGAACCGTTTGGTGGATCAATTTCAAATTTTCAGGGATGATTCTTAGTATAAAAATCTAGATCTCATTAGTTTTTTGGCATTCTGGGTAAATGTCAAGGCAGCCATTTTGGATTTTCCGTCCTAAAATCTTGTCTGTAAAGTCTTGTCTACTCGTTTTCAGGTGAACTGTTTGGTAGATCAATTTCAAATTTTCAGGAATGATTCTTAGTATGAAAATCTATAACTGATTAGTTTTTTTTGCATTCTGGGTAAATGTCAAGGCAGCCATTTTGGATTTTCCGTCTTAAAATCTTGCCTGTAAAGTCTTGTCTACGCGTTTTTAGGTGAATGGTTTGATAGATCAATTTCAAATTTTCGGGGATGATTCTTTGTATGAAAATCTACATCTGATTACTTTTTTTGCATTCTGCGTAAATGTTAATGCAGCCATTTTGGATTTTCTGTCCTAAAATCTTGTCTGTAAAGTCTTGTCTACCCGTTTTCAGGTGAACCGTTTGGTAGATCAATTTCATATTTTCAGGGATGATTCTTAGTATGAAAATCTACAAACAGATTAGTTTTTTGACATTCTTGGTAAATGTCAAGGCAGCCATTTTGGATTTTCCATCCTGAAATCTTGTCTGTAAAGTCTTGTTTACATGTTTTCTGGTTAACTGTGTGACGGATCAATTTCAAGGTGGCCACTTTGGATTTTCCGTCCTCAAATTGTGTTGGTAAAGTCTTGTCTACTCATTTTCAGGATAACCATTTCACGGGATCACCACTTGGTGGGGACATTTTGTACACATTTGTGTTCTTGTAATTTTTGTTTGTATATGTACTTGACCCCAAGGGGTGTGAATGTACTTGAAGAATAAATATAAAATGTTATATTTCTAAATTTCCCGAATTGTACTTTTATTCCACTTGCTTTCGCTGGATGATATCCAGTATCCAATGGTAATTGGATAATTTGTGTCAGTGTGTATTTCATGAAAGTACTTTCACATCAAAACAAAAGAAGTTTAATTGAACCAAT